AAAGTAAAACTGCTTCACAGACTCTTGTGTTTCATATTCTGTCGTGTTTGCACTAAAGGAAACAGTTTGTAGATTTAAAGTGGAGTTTCCTGCAGAGGGAATTGTTCCGAGCGTTATATTTCATAAACGTTAACACCTCTGTCACTTTCATAAGTAATCACAGTATTTCTACTGAAGACTGAGTCAGTATGAACTCTTACAGTGGAGCATCTGAATCTAAACTGAACAGTTTAAAACTGAATTGTGTACAAATACACTATTTTCAAATCCTCAACACAATTTTTTTTTGTACTCAACGTGCAACTTCCCCGGCTCTCGTTTCATCCGCCTGCTCCACTTGTTAGTACTAATACACCTCAGATAGGTGGGTGTCTTAAAGAAATTGTTTATTGTCTTTTATTTTTGTTTCATTAACATTTAATCATAAAATGCTTTCAGCAGCGCATTTATTTAGAATAAAACCTCTTAATAAAAAAGGATTAAATTTGTGACATAGCACATTTTAATTTTTTTATATTATTTTTACTGATTTAAGACACAAATCTCTTGACAATATTAAAAATGTCCACAGAAGTCCCTGCATACCAGTGATGGTCCAATGTGAAACTTGTTTTATCAAATGGAAAGCGTTAGGCCCAACCTGGCTGAGAAACTTTCTCCCGACGGACTGTAAACTGACAGTTTTCAGGGTCAATAATCAGAGACTTTGTAAAAATTATAATTATAATAAAATCTCTCTGTTGCAAAAGTGACAACAGTGTAAATAAAATAAATTGTTTGCATGAACACGGTTGAAATCTTTGAGAGCAGCTGCTAAAGACGGCAGAAATCTGTTTTTCTTAGTTTCTTCTCCAACTAGCGTTGCTCCTGTTTCTAATGCAAGTAAGATGTTTGTTACTGATAATAACTCCACATAACCCCGCTATACAATGCAAATGTTCTGAACTAAAGACAAATATAAACTTCTGCCCTGATGCTTGTCATGTTAATGAGTGGATGGTTTAACGATTTACTTCTTCATATAACCAAAATGTTAAGATACGATATAAACTATGAACAAATGCAGTTTATTCACTCACCAAGAGCCCAGATCAGCAGGTAAAGGTTCATCCCTGCCGTTAGCACCTCCTGTCGTCTTCGCCTTCGCCTGCAAACAGCCGAAACCTCCTCTGATTGTCTGACGTGTGAACAGTGAGTCTAAGTGATGAGCCAATAAAAGACAGGAACTAGCTAACCACAGCATGATCAGAGGTTTCAGATGTATATGGAAGACCTTTTTGTCTATTTTTAGAATTTAAGCATAAACAACTCAGGTAAGAATTATGTGAAGCACAAAACAGCTGCTCTCAGCCGAACGTTACTTTTGTGCAAAATCTCAGCCACAAGTGAACACATTCATGGTAAACTCCTGAAGTTATTGAGACATGAAGAGTACAGAAACGAATAAGGTTGTGGGATGTAGGGTCGCAGCGGGTGCTGCAGCACCCCTAATGGATGCCAAAGGACACGCATGTCCAAATACAAGCTTAAGGGATAATTGACAAAAATAATACAGCTCATTTATTTGGTGCTCTGCATGTTTAAAATCAAATTATATTTGAATGTTTTGTAAAGTTTAGCTAGCATTTTGCGACTTTCATTTACCTTTGCTATTTTTAGCTAATAGCTAATCTTTTGATACATAAGCTTTTTGCTAACCTTTATCTGTTTTAGCTAATGTTTTGCTTATTTTGGCTTTTAGCTGATGTGTTGCTTTTTTTGAGCTCGCTTTTTGATGTTTGCCTTTTGGCAGATTTTAGCTTTAAATTGAACTTTTTGTACAATTAACTAGCCTTGTGATATTTTTAGCTACTAGCTAATCCTTTGATACATTAGCTCTTTACTTAACTTTCTTTTAGCTAGCATTTTGCTAATTTAGCTTTTAGCTAGTGTTTTGCTCTTTGGCACTACAGTTTTTCTACTATTACCTAGCCTTTTTACATTTCTTTATCGCTTTAAATGGACCTTTTGACACAATTAACTAGGATTCTAGGGATCAATCCACCCTCTTCCAAACAAAAGCAACAAACAAAAACTAAAATCTTCTTCTTGGTGAAGCTCATTTAAAACTTGCTGCTTGCTTTTATTCATTTCAAACAAACTAAACATGTTTGCTGACTTCACAAATATTCATTGACATATTTATTTTACAGATGTATAAAATACTTCTTGTTGCATCAAATTTAAAAAATCTTCAGAAATCCAGCTGATGGTGGCTGTCGTCACTTTGACAGGTTTTAATTTAATCTGATTTAAAGTCACTTCAGTGCGTTTAAGGTTCAGACTTGGCCTCTGCAAAGTTCCTCATTCGATACATTTCTTTATGCTTCAAACCAAATATGTAACAAAGTTTTACAACAAATTAGTGCAAAGATTAAGAAAATATACACAACTGTTTGCACGTAGCCCACAGATTAAAACAAAAAAAGACATTTGTGTTGAATATCTTAAAAATAATCTCGTTCAAAAAGTTTCATAAATAAAATCCATTTTCTGGTGGGGTGGGGAGTTTCAAGTGCTACCAGGAATAAACAGTTACAGATGAAACATTTGACAGAAATATTTTGTTCCTTAAATACTTTGAGACGCAGGTTTTAGAACGTGTTTAATCTCTTTTCTTCAGAGACGGTTCTGGAGTCGTCCACAGTACTTTAATGATCTGGACCGGACTCCGGAGCGATGCTGTGCTCCTGGGCGAGGGCGGCCAGCTCCTTCAGGAACTCGGCGAACAGAATGATGGCGAACACTCGGCTCGTGGCCTGGGGGGGGATCTGGGGGCAGGGGGGCAGGACGCTGAGAGGAGGCAGAGGCAGGGCGTGCTTCACGAAGCCGTTGGCCCGAGACGGGTCCAGGATGATGTCCCCGCCGCGAGACTGCAGGGACTCTGAGGGACGCAGGAGGACAACGAATAAGGTTTGATCCGTCAATCATGACGAGAAACAAACATTTACAAAAATAAAAAAACAATGCGGCAACTAGAAAACCTGAACTGTTGAAGCCAAAAGACGCAAAAGAAGCAGAACTCTAGCAACGAGCTAAAAGCAGAAAAATGCTAGCTAAAAGTGCAAAAATGGCTAGCTAAAAGCCAATTGTAGTTTCAAGCCAAAAGTAGCAAAAGACTGCAGTCTAAAGCAAAAAAAAGGCTACTTAAAAGCTAAAAAGTAGTAAAACACTAGCTAAAAGTAGAAAAGTGTTAACTATAAGTGCAAAAAATATTCAAACTGCTGTTACGCCATATCGTTTAACATTATTAGTGACTAGCGTATACCTTAGATCTTTTAGCGTACCTTTTGGCATTCGTTTAGCATATAGCGTATATCTTAGATCTTTATTTACTGTTTCTTTTTGCAATTTATATTTTTGCTATTGTTGGGTGTAACTGGGAACCTTTGTACACAATTTCATTTCACTTCATGTACCACAGGAGAATGACAATGAACTTGGCTTGAACTTGAACAAAATGGCTAGCTAAAAGCTAATTGTAGTTTCAAGCCAAAGGTAGCAAAAGACTGCAGTCTAAAGCAGCTCAATGCTAATTAAAAGCTAAAAGTATCAAAGTCTGTGTGTATTTTAACGTGGGTGCTCATTAACCTCTGAATTTGCCATCTTGGTCTTTAGCCAACAAGAACCTCCAGGCCTGAGTGATCAGGGATGGATAGTCTGGTCTGTTGGCCACATAGTGCTCGATCTGAGCGTGCACGGAAACCAACACCTGCAGACAGTTTACACGACGTTATCACAAAGATGCCTGGAGCTGATGGGGACTGAGGTCAAACACAGGTGGGTATTACCTGGTATAACGTTCGTACGCTCGACTGGGCGTTTATGTCGGTGCCGAGCAGGAAGGAGTTCAGCAGAGGATGCGGGTACGACGCCAGCTGAGTCAGGATGCCAGTCACCAACAAGTTAACCGCTATGGAGTTCTCCAGAAGGTTCTCCAGTCGAGATAACAGGACGCTGATAAAGGGACCTGATGAACGACAAAGTGTAGTTTTCATTAGAAAACACTGAACCCTGGTATTGTTATGACACATTATGAGTTCACTGAAAGTACTCTCTACGGTGATCGTCGTCCATGTTACACAGAAAAGGGTCTACAGCCAATAACAGGTTGTGAAATTATGCAAACGATTGTCCGTTTACATTGGTTAAGGACTATGCAATGCTTTTTTGTTAGTGGTCCGTGCTGTACTGTAACCCTGAGGCTGCAGGTTCAACTCTAGGTTGTGTCAGGAAGAACATCCAATGTAAAACGGTTGACAAATTGTTCACGTGAGTTCACTTGCTTTGGGGACTTTTGTAGAAGGGAGGAGCCAAAAGAAAAACACTCATTGACCACAGTTATTCTTGCCAGTTATTTACTTTATTTCCCTCCTCACAAACACTCACCTGTAAAAGGAACTTCATGTTTCTTGCTGCCTCCTTTCTTGTTGTCTTCCTCTTCCTCCTCCATGGCCTTTCCCTCTCCTTCCTCCTCTGCATCATCCCATGAGGAGCTATAACCAAAGTCAGTGATAAGCTCCTCCTCCTCCTGTAGTTTTCGCCTCAAGTCTTGTACGCGCCTGCTGAATGTTCTGATGTCATCTGTGATGTCATCACAGTCAGGCTCAACTCCCAACGACAGCATGAGTTTGCAGTACTGCGACACGAAGTTGTCTTTTGTGGTTTTGTAATCCGTCTGGGTGTTTGTTGAGGGCACGCAAAGCTCCCGAGGCTCAGGTTCAAAATGGCCGTTTGGTAAACAGTTGACCTCTAAACATGGAACGAGAGACGTGTTGGGATGTGTCTGCTTCTGGTGTATTATGTCCATGAAACCATCTTCTTTTGGATTGTAATCGTGCTGAAATGATTCAGTTTCTTCACCAATATCAACGGATATGCTGATGATATGATTCTTTACATCAAAGCCATTAGTGATGATGTGTTGCGTTGTTTTCTTTATCTCTTCTTCTCCTTCCTCCTGTGTTCTTCCCAGCTCTTTCCCAAATCCCTCGCTCCTCCTCCTTGCATCCTTATAATCTTCACTCTTCCTTCTTTCTTCCTTCCCTCCATCCTCACTCCTCCTCCGGGATGACATGATGCTGTTAACTGTTTCCATCACAGACTTTCCTGTTGCTGTTAACATAGCTGATACTGTTGCGCTTTTTGAGAGGCTTTCATGAGACGGTCGACTGGCTGCCTTGATCTGTTCCAACATGGCTGCCTTTGTGTCTTTTTGAGCAACGAGATCGTAGACTACAACATCGTCCTGAAACTCTGACTCCTCCACATACGAGCCTTGCACCAGCTTGGTCGCAGTGCGCCGCATTTCCTGGATGTACTGAGGAGGAAGTGGTGGAGGTGCAGGTGAAAAAGCACATCTGTCCATTTCCACACAGCCATTTGCCTCCTTACAGACCGCTGATGAAGACAGATCCTCATCTTCAAAGATGTCATCCCACTCCAGGTCCATGGCAGAGCTGACCCTTCCTGCCTGGTTGCTTGTGGACACCGTGTCTGAGGAGGACGGTGTCGGGGAGAGCACGGTCAGTGGAGGGAAAACAGTCAAAGAGCAGACAGAGTCACTCTTCAGTCTTTCTATGAGCTCTTCTTCATCTTCTATGTCGTACCCTGATGTGTCATAGCGATTCTGTTGAGGAGAAGGGTTGATGCCATCGTAAGGAGCTGACCAGAACTGACAAGCTCTGCAGACAAAACCAAAATAATTATTTTTATACATTAAGTCTTTAATTAAAGCTTATTAAACAAAGAATGAAATGTAAGACTCATCCCGTAAATCTTTAGTTGAGTGTTTTACCTGCAGACAAATCTATGTTTGACTGGTCTAAAATGTACCATCTGACGTTATAGATGACATTAGGTTCAGAAGATAAATGCTGCACAAGCTGCACTTTCAGAGACCCCGTCTGTTGTTTTGTTGATGATCCAAACCTCATGGCCACAGGTAATAGTTGGAACATAGATGGGCCAGTATACAGTATGAAGAGCTTTGCCTGTTGGGTTCAGCTCCTTTTTCACCATGACAGACTGGAGCAAAGCTCTCATTTCTGCAGACGAGGCCCTGATTTGTTGATTTATCTCCCGCTCCATCCTGTCATCCCTCGTAAACAAGAGTCCCAGATATATCAGATGATTTGAGGTTTTGACTACTTGATCATTGCCATCTTGGGTTAGACTTGAGACTTGGAGCATCATATGGATCCATAAGGTAGCAGCTAATGAAGCTACCAGTGACCCAAAACACACAAGTCAACAGGCACATGAGGACTTAACACATTCAAACTACAGGAGTTGTGGTGCTTTGCCTCCTTCTCAACTCTCATTGGTTCCACAACACACTGCACCAGTTAAGGGCTTGCCCACTGCTGGTACCCACCCCCCACTCAGACCAGTTTATGGGACTACCTTGTTCATGGTTCCAAGTGGACTGCACCGAGATGAGGATTTTGAGCTGATGATTGGCCAGCGGCGCTACGTCACTGAATGACCCGCCCAACAAAACTGAAAACTAAATCTGAACCTCCACTTCCTCATCATGTTGACGGACAGCGCCACAAGAAATGAGCACATTTACAGAGAAGATATCGGAGATGATGGAGCAGAATGACTACACCCAGTCAGCAGTGCCGGGATACGCTAAAGAAACTGAAGTCCGATTATAGAGCGATAAAGGAACACAACGGGTGGAGTGGCTCGATCTTGACCACAGAGTGGGGAAACAAGTCACAGTGGCATATCACCTACACCTGAGGGAAACTGATAAGACACGAACCGAGTGGAGTCGTTCTTATCAATGACCAAGCAGCTTTAGATACACACCTGAAGTGATGCTAGGTGGTAGAAGACATCTTTGTGTGAAACATGCACGGTTTGTGTAACTCCTGCCAGGTTCCTTAGGTTGTAACTTTATTGATTATTAATGACTATAAAAGGTTCACAATTTATAACTCCACTGATAATACTTCTTCACACACCAACCGGTTTTAAAATAGAATGTTGTGGTGACGTATACTGATGAACAAAACCCCACACAAGCATGTATGATCCAAGAAAAACCACAACAGTCGTTGTCGTCTTAACTTTTTAATCGCTGCTTCATAATGTTCTGTTTCTTCTGCTACTGGCACCAAATGGCACTTTAAAATCATCTAATGTTACTTATTTGTAGTTTATGGACTGGAAACCTTTGTTTTAACATCTCAGGCCTAACAGGTGGAAGTCATTGCACCAGTGTTTCATGTTGAATACATTTACCAGAAACATCTAGATTATGGCTAAAACTCACAGATCAGACTTTTAGATTATGACATTTAGCAGTTTTTCTCCAGTTATGTCTTTAAAAAGGTCAGACACACAAACCTGTGCGAGGTGACGATAGCCTGGCGAGCGTCCCAGAGGTACTGGACGTAGTTAACATCCATCAGGAAGTCCAAACCCCGACAGTAGCCAACACTGTCTGACACCGACAGATCTGACACACACAGAGTTAAAGTCACTGAACATGATTTATTATAATGTTCTTGTTTCTGTTTTTATATACGGACCTGCTCCTTTGGGCCAGTGGATGTGCTCTGAGCGTGTGTTTGTGTTGTGGAGGTAAACTGGGCACCAGGAGGGCATGAGGAGCAGGAAGGAGGCGGCGTTGGAGGAGTAACAGTCCCTCTGCTTTAAGGAGCAGTGCTGCTTCCTGCTCAAGTGGCTGCAGGGAATCAGATACCTGAGGAGACAAAGAACCATCATGATATGTTCAGTGCTGCCCCCATGTGGCTGGTGAGGGAAAGACATGCTGCAGCAAGAAAACCATCATTTATATCAACAAAGTCAATGCTAAATAATCCAGGTATACAACACAACATTTTTCAGTCAGGTCATCTGGACAGTTTCTTTTTTTGTGCTGAAATGTTTCGCATTCGGTCCAGAAGGCTTCATCAGTCAAGGAAACACACAACAAAACTGATTCTTCCCCCATCAGCTTACTCCAGCTTGTTCCACTTTGGAGTAAGCTGTTGGGGGAAGAATCACTTTTGTATATGCATATTCATCCGTCTGTTTTCTTCACCAGCTTTCTCCTTTATGGGTCAACAGGGGCTGGTGCCTATCACCAGCAGTCATTGTGCAAGAGGTGGGGGACATCTTGGACCGGTCGCAAGTCCATCACAGGGACGCATGACACAAACAACCATTCACACTCTCACTCAAGAACAATTTAAAGATACCATTGACCCAAACATGCAAGTTTTTGGTCTGTGGAAGGAAACCAGAGAACCTGGAGAAAACCCTTGAGTGCACTGGGAGACTCCACACCGAAAGGCCAGGAGGTGACAGCTCTGACCATTGTACTGCAACACACTCCAAGTGGTATCTTACTTCTGTGAACCCCTCAGACTGACCTGAACACCAGCTGCAACATAACGTCTTCACAGAAGAGACCGATCAGAGTCCTGAACAGAGCCAGAGACACCGTCCCCAACTGGAAAACAGGAAAACAACAAAAGGTTATTATTCACAGAGCATCCAACCGCTGTTATACCTGAGGGGTGTGTTATACCTGGAAAGGTGTGTTGACCCGGCTGACCAGCGTGTCCAGGACGTGAACGTTGTCGTGCCGGTGCATCAGGATGAAGGACAGGAAGGTCTGGAGGAGAGCGGGCTCAGAGACGGAGCGCAGGAACAGATCCAGGTATGCCGTGGTGGTCATCACCTCCTCCACTGTCAGCTACACACAAACACAATAAAGAGGTTTAACTGGTAAATAAGCAGTTGTACTAAACGACTAAACCAAAAACACACAATTCTGTTTTACCAAATTTCTCACCAACCAAAGTAAAAGTACACAAAGTGTAATTGTACATTAACCAGACTGCCACGCAGTGTTCTCTGATCTCATCTGAAGAAGGCGCATGGTTTTTGTTTGATGCCTGGTTTCTAATAGCTTGTTGCCGACTGAACGACAGGAGTAAAGGAAGTCCTCCGTGGTTTTCTGCATGATGCTGTGTGCAACAGAGGAGTGGAGCGAAAACGGAGCACATAACTGCGTCCGAGGTCTGTACTGGTTTTATGGCTTCACGTTGAATGCTGCAAGAATCTGCCAGGCTTCCAGGGAAAGTTGAGATGGAAGAGGCAGAGCACAAGCAGCGGTGTATGTTCAGGAGATCCTTGGAGCTCAGAGGCTTCTTGGTTGAAGCTCCTGCAACAGCTGCCTCCACCTTCAGCCCGTACTGAGCGGAGTCCATGTCCCTGGAGCCTGTTGTGGTGAAAACGCATCATGGACGTTTGAAGAAGTACTCAGCAGGTACGAACATGTTACCTTGTGCAGAGCAGGAGCCAGAACAGGAACGAGGAAGCCGTTGTAGATGTAACTCAGTAACTGGGAGCGGATGGAGGGATGAGCAACCTGAGACAGACGGATGAAGACAAACAGAAGACTTTTAAATCAAGTCACCGTGTTTACACCGGCTCTAATCATGATGGAGACAAACACTTGCAAGGACAACAGTCTAGAAGAACTTCCTGCTGGGACTTTATTTCATTGTTTGATGGTTAAGACTTGACTTTAAGTTTAGGATTTGGGTTAGGCATTCAGTTTGGACGGTTGGGGTCAGGGTGAGTGGTGTGAATAATCCAGAGCCCCTTTAGGGAAACTGAAATGAACGTGGGTGTTTGTGTTGCATTGTACCTTGATGACGGCACTACAGAAGTCCAGTGAGTGCAGAAAATTGACGAGCGCTGGAACCTGTCAACACCAGATAAATATCATTTTTGTGAATCCAGATAATAAAATCTCAATTATTGGGTGGATGGTGGATGGTGCTGCC